ATCGGTGGTTACCAGGGAAAAGGGAGGGTAGGGGGAGGGCACAAAGGGGGAAGTGGTGTACCCACAACATGACTAACAAAAATGTACAACTGAAATCTCACAAGGTTGTAATCTATCATAAGATTAATAAAAAAAAAAAAATAGAACTGCCATATGACTGAGCAATATATCCAAATAAACGAAAATAAGATCTCCAAGAGATAGCTGCACCCTCATGTTCATTGCAGCATTATTCACAATACAAGACATGGAAATAACTGTCAATAGATGAATAAAGAATACACACACACGGGCACACACACACACACACACACACACACAAAATGGAACATTATTTAGCCATGAGAAAGAAGGAAATCCTGCCGTTTGCGACAATTCAGATTAACCTTGAGGACATTAAGTGAAATAAGTCAGACAGAGAAAGACAAATGCTGTATGGGATCACTTACAGTGGAATCTAGAAAAGCCAAACTCACAGGGTAGGGTGGTGGTTGCCAGGGCTGAGGGGTGGGGGAAATGGGGAGATGTTGGTCAAAGGGTACAAACTTCCAGTTATAAGATTAACAAGTTCTGAGGATCTAATGTACAGCATGGTGTTTACAGCTTATAATACTGTATTATGTACTTGAAAGTGCTAAGAGAGTACATTTTAAATGTCCCTACCGCACACACACACAAATGGTAATTGTGTGATGTGATGGAGGTATTGCTAATGCCGTGGTGGTAATCATTTTGCAGTATATAAATGTATCAAACCAACACATCGTACACCTTAAACTTACACAATATGTCAATTATATTTCAATAAAGCTGGAAAATACAACAAAATAGAGCAGAGGCAACAAAGGCTTTTCTGCTCCACCGCCTGAAGTGCTCCGAGAGGCTACCAGGCTCCAGGGAGAGCAGCCCGGCACAGGCCCAGGGTCAGCTGGGTCAGCCCGAGCCCCTCCATTAAAGAGCCCCCAGCAGACTGGACGGCAAACACTCAGGCACCTGGTGCCTGGACCCCTGTACCTGGATTACGGTGTGAGCGATATGAGAAACCAGCCTCCCACATGCTCGATTCCATGTGAAAATAGTGTCCTGCCATCCCAAGGAACAGGAGAAAGGCAAAAATCATGGGTGTGGTCCCTTTTATTGAAAAAAGCAAACAAAACCTCAATGGGCCCCATATCCTCTGTAAATAATTTCTTACAGGAATCCTACTTCCCTCCAAACTAGCTCCTGCAGAGCCCTCAGCCCCACGCATCTCCAGCAGGCCCCTCTCCTGGCCCGGCCGCACCATGCGGGCCTCCTGCTCTGCGGGTGGGGGCCACTAAAGAGATCAAATGGAGCTCAGTCTCAGGCCAAGTCATCTGAATTTTTTTTTATTTTTGAAGCTATTTATAGGTTGATTAATTAATAATAAAAATCCCACCATTTTGTAATTCAGCAACGGCCCCTACCTAATTTCCATCACAAACAGTTTTTCTCCAGCCTTGGAAAAAGAGCCTCGTGAAGAATTTATGTGAACACTAGAAATTGTTCCTTATCGCTGCTCCTAAAGGAATGCAGAGAAAAAGCTGCATTAAAATGACACAGGGTGGGGAGACACTTGACTCTGACCACTGATGGTGATCCAGGTGTCTTCACAGGCAGGCGCTGTGAAGAGAAGGATGCCTCCCCGGAAGCTGCCTGACCTCGGGGCAGGAAAACGAGAGAGAATCTCATTTAGAATTACCAAGGTCACTGACATCAACAAATAACTCTCAGCTGCCTCCCACGCTTTTCAAAAACTAATCTAGTTTCTCTCAGACTTTGATGAAAAATTTGTCTTCCTAGGGGCCCTGCAAGACTGATGGGCAGGCCTCACCCTTTATACCTGCGGTGGAATAAAACTGGCTCTCTCTCCTCAGACAGAAGAGGGCCTGGCAGTTGGGACAGGTTCCTGTCTTGTGTCATCTCCCCCTCCTCCTGGAGGAACTGTGGCTGGTTGACCCACCTGAGAGCTACTCCATAGGCTGGCACAGAGTCTTGCATCTGGAGAGTGCTCAGAGCAGTTGCTAAAATGAACTCAATTAAGTTCCCCCATCTTCCTCTAAAATCACCAAAGATCATCCAATTCAAAGGCCAGCCTCAGGGCTCCAGGACTCCAAGGCAGTCCAAAGCCTTGCTACTCAAAGTGTGGTCCTTGGACCTGCCACTTCTCTTGGGAGCTTGTTAGATGTGCAGAATGTCAGGCCCCATCCCAGAACTGAGAGTCAGAATCTGCATTCCAACTAGAGCCCAGGTGATCTGCACGTGCTCCAAGTGTGAGCAGCACTACTTTGACGACCTTGCCCTTGACGGCCAAGTCACGGGTCACTAGTCCTCATTCCTTTGCTTTCCCAGAAGACATCTATGCAGCACGTGTTAGTTTGCTGGAGCTGCCATAACAAAATACCCCAGACTGGGGGCTTAAACAACGGGAATTTAATTCCTCACAGTTCTGGAGGCTAGAAGTCCAAGATCAAGGTGTCAGCAGGTTTGGCTTCTCCTTGGCTTACAGATGGTCGTCTTCTTGCTGTGCTTTCACACGGTCTTTCCTGTGTGTGTGAGACCCTGCTGTCTCTCTCTGTGTCCTAATTTCCTCTTCTCCTCAGGACACCAGTCAGAATGGATTAGCGCCCCCCAATGACCTCATTTTAAGCTAACCACCTCTTTAAAGGCCCTGTTTCCAAATACACTCACATCCTGAGGTACTGAGGGTTAAGGCTTCAACATCTGAATTTGGGGGGCGGATACGATTCTGCCCATAACAAACGTTACCACATCCAGGCAGTGTGCTAAGCTTGGGGTTACAACCAAGAAGGGGACAAACTTGGTCCCTGTCCTCAAGCAGCTCATAGCTCCTCACTGGTCACATCTCCCCTCTTGTTTGGCTACCCTGACCATGGGGTCCCACTGGCCTCTTACTCACTGTTGGATCCCCCAGGTCTGATGGGCCTTCACTGTATGCACTGAACACTCGCCCCCCGACCAGAAGGAGTGGCTGGTTACCTCACCCCTAAGCTGGGGAGAGTGGGTACAACCTGTGTAGACACCGACCAAGAGGAAGACCCGTCCCCTAAAAACAAAAATTATCTGATGCTAAAATTTGTGGGTAAAAGTAAGTGGAGAAACAGGATATTTGCATAATCTAAATCTATCTCCCCATAAGATAATAAATTAAAAGGGGAAAACAGTAACCCCACAGTGGAGAAACTCGGCAGACACCACTTTAGACAAGTGACCAAGTGAACATCACCAGTAAAAGGACACGTCAGCAACACACACTGTCTCATGCGATGCACTGAGAAGGTCATAATATCATCTCTGTAGTATTCTTGTCAAAAATTCATAATCTCAATCTGATCATAAGACAATGTCTGAAAAACCCAAACTGAGGGGCGTTCTGTAAAATAATTGACCAGTACCCTTTGAAAGTATCAAGGCCATGAAAGACAAAGGCAAGCTGAGAAACTGTCGGACAGTAAGAGACTAAGGGGACATACAGCTAAATGCAATCTAGGATTCTGGATTGAATCCTGGAGCAGAAAAAGGATGTTAGTGGGAAAATTGGAGAATTGCTTATAAGGTCTGCAGATTAATTAATAGCATGGTATCAGTGTTAATTTCCTAGTTTCCATAATTGTACTATGAATTTGTAAGATTGTTAATATTAGGGGAAGCTGAGTGAAGGGTATGTGGAAACTCGGTGGTATTATTTAATTTCTCTGTAACTCTAAAATTATCTTAAAATAAAAGTCTTTTTAAAAACATTTGGTAGAACGTGGGTTTATTTAGTTAGGGTGGAATGCCAAACTGTAGTAACAGACAGCCCAAAGAATACAGTAGCTTAAAGAATAAAGGGGTTCTCTCACATGTGACAGTTCTGAGGTGGTGGGCCAGACTGGCAGAACGGCTCTCCTCTGCAGTCGCACAGGTCTCTCGGTCCCCTCCATGTGCACACGACCACCTGCCGGGCCTTCCTTCTCTTCAGAACGGTCAAAGCTGAGTTGCCACCGGTTCTTCAATGCTGGGTGCAGAGTTCTGTATATGTATGTTATACCAACCTTGCTAATTACATTCTAAACCTTTGCATAACTTTTTAATTTGGGTCTCCTTGATCAGTTACTCAGAGAAGTTTATTATAACGCATTTCACCACGATTGTGGATTTCTCCTTGTAAATCTGCAAATTTTTGCTTTCTGTATTTTAAGACCATGTTACTAAATGTTGGTATAAATGGTATCTTTTGATATCAGTTTTTTATACCAACTTCAGAATTTTTGTATCTTCTCACTGTTTCTTTAGTATTATATTGTGTCATGTTTGTCTTAACCATGAGGTTTTTGCCTTTAACTTTGTTTCATCTGATATTAATATGGCTACATTACTCTTTTTGCAACTTGTTTGCTAAACATAGAGTTCCCATCTCTTTATTTTTGATCTATCTGTGTAATTATGTTTTAAATGTGTGTCATGTAAATAGGCAATAGCTGGATTTTCCCCACTCACTCCTCTATCTAATAATCTATGCTTTTTAATTCATGAACAATAATTGAGATTACTTATATATTTGATTTATTTTCATTGCCTTATTTTGTATTTTCTATATACCCTGCTCTTTCTTGGCTAATTTTTTTCTTCTGTCCTGGCTTCTATTTGATTAATTATCTTTTCTTTATGTTGTTTTTTTCTCTCTACTATTTTGAAACTTAAACATTCTATTTTTTCAGCAGTAACTCTTAAAATTTTAATGCATGTACTTTGCCTAACAAACTTTAAAATAATCAGGTTCTCTTTCTTTCTCCCCAAAATATGAAAACCTTAGAAACCTTTAACTCCAATTACTCTATTCCCACCTTCCATGCTAATATTATTGGTTATTTTAACCACCTGAATTAGTCACTATTATTAGTCAATACTTGTTTAAATGTACCCACGTTTGCCAGTTTTTCTGCTCACCATTACTTCATGATTTTCTTTCTTTCTTCTAGGTTGCATTTCCTTCTTCTTGAAGTACAACCACAGTATTTCATTCTCGGAAAGTAGTAAGTCCTCTAAGTTTTGGACTAAAAATGTCTCTGTTTCATCCTCAGTCTTAAACGAAAATTTAGTTAAAAATAGAACTGTAGGCTGATACTCTCAGACTGAAGGTATTAGTCCATTATCTCGTGGCTTATACTGTTGCTGTTGCAAAGTCTGTGAACATTTTAATTTTTATTCTTCTTTTTTAATCTGTCTTTTTTTCTCTGGTTTCTTTGAATATTTTTTCTTGTTTTTGAAATTCTGAATCTTCAATAAGATTTGTCTGGAAGTGGAATTATTTTTCTTTTTCTTCAGGAATCATTGTTCTCCTTGAGACAGAGGATTCATATCTTTCATCAATTCTAGGAACTTCGAGGTTATTGACTCTTCGGATACTGCTTGTCCTTGACTTTCCTTCTCCTCTGAGAACTCTTGGTGGACATGGTTTGTATGCTCTCATTCCATCTTCCATGTTTCTTAACGTCACTTTCACGTTTTTCTCTCTCTATATCTCTAGCTGTGCTGCATTCTTGGAAATCTCTTCAGATCTATTTTCCAGTTGACTATTTCTCCAGTCAGTGGTGTCTACTCTGCTGTTTAAATCATTCATTAAATTTTTTCCAAGATATTTTTCCTAAAAGTTCTACATGATTCTTTCAAATCTGTCAATTACTTTCTCACGTTGTCCTGTTCTTATGACTTGAAATCCTTCTTTTATGTATTTAATCACTTATATTTATTTTATATTATCTTTCATATATTGTCATTCAATTATCTGAAGTTCTTAGGGTATAACCTGATTTTTGTTGTCTCTGCTTTACAAATCTTTTATGTCCTCTGTGGGAGTATATCTCTCTTTAAAACGTTTTTGCATTCATTCCTGCAAAGAGTCCTAGCTGTATCCCCAGTCTGGGAACAATTTTTTTGAAAAATTTTTGGTTTGGCTGCTGCCAGACTGTATGGGTAATACAAATTCACCACCCAAAACTCAGATGAACTACAGCCCTGTGGTCATGAATTTGGGAGGCGAGGGAAAGGGGATCTCTTTTCCACTCAAAGAGAGGCAAGGTTCCTGTTGTCCTTCCATACCAGTGCACAGATTTTCCTAGTTCACCCCTTCACTGAGGGGATAGCCATTTGAGCCTGTGGGTCGAAGGAGAGGTTGGGTTCAGTTCCAGCTCTGCCTTCTTTCTCAGCTCATGGCCTCATGTCCTGTAGCCACGTGGGCATTAAAATCCGAGTTCCTGGGCTACAGAGATTGATGACCTGCTTTGTGTCCTCCTCCGACCCAGGAATAAACAAGAGCTGATGATTTTGGCTTTCACTTCCCTCTGTTTCTAGAACCAGGGGATTTCCTCTCTTTCTCTTAAAGCTAACTTGTCATTCAAAAGAATGTTTGCTAGATTTCATCCTGAATTTCTGGATATTTGCGGAAGGATTTGAGATCATCCAGTTCTTCATATTTCTAGAACCAGCAAGGTTACTGACACAGGCTTGTTCACTCCCTGCCTCCACTTCCTCTGGTTCTATTCAGTTCTCAACTAGAACGTTCTGGCTTTTGCTCCCCTCTCTGGAGCAGTCCATTCTAATAATACCAAACTGCACACACCAAAATGATCCCTCCACCTGAAATTCCCCTCACTCTCTCTTGACCTGTTTACTCCACTTTTAGCTATTCATTAACCAGGAGGGCATATTTTCCTCTTCTCTGAGAAGGCTTTCCTTTTTTTTTTTTTTTTTTTTTTTTTGTTTAAAGATTGGCACCTGAGCTAACAACTGCTGCCAATCTTCTTTTTTTTTTTTTCTGCTTTTTCTCCCCAAATCTCCCCAGTACTAGTTGTATATTTTAGTTGTGGGTCCTTCTAGTTGTGGCATGTGGGATGCTGCCTCAACTTGATGAGCAGTGCCATGTCTGCACCCAGGATCGGAACCGGTGAAACCCTGGGCCACCGAAGGGGAGTGCGTGAACTTAACCACTCGGCCACAGGGCTGGACCCCAGCCTTTCCTTTGAAACTTTATAATCCCACAGATCCTGGTGCTTATTTCTCTCTCTTACTGCATTATAATGAATGCATATTTTAGTGTCTTCCTCCCCATCGTAAGATCCTTAAGGTCTGGGACCATGATCTACTCACTGCATCCCCAGAGCCTAGCACAGTGTCTGACACATAGTATGTGTTTAACATATTAGTTAACTGAATAAACAAACACAGACCACATCTGTAATTGTTACCTTCAAAGGGTTTAGCAATCCCTCCAGACTCTAGAAAACTTTCAGTTTCCAGGAAAACATTTATGCAAGACCATCATTTGAGGAGGAAGAAGGAAGTATGCAGAGTTCAGAACACTATATCCCAGGGATAGATGGCACACCGTGCTCCCTCCCCTCAGAGGGGGCCAGCCTGTGATAAGAAAGATGAGAAATCCAATTAAACTGAATGTTCACATCCCTCCAAAGACTCGCCAGAAAATCAAGTACAAAACCTCAGCCTGTTATTCAAGGTCATCCAAGATTAACACCTAGTCTGCCTTTCCAGTATTATTTTCTGCTCTACAAACCTCTGCTCATTTCCCCTAAATTATTATGCATCTTGTATTATCATCTTATCACCCCTTGACCCAACCCCCTAGTCATGCAATGTACAAAGTCTCAAAAACAGATGATTTTGTTGCAAACACAGTTTATTTTTCTTACTACTGGCTTACTTTATGCCTTTTAGGCATATATCAAAGGAAATAGAAGTATTTAACTATGTTACTCTTGGCTGTAATAAAATCCTCTGCTCCTTTTGCCCACGCAGCCATAAACTTTATATTAGAGTTGGCTCTCAGTCTGTGAGCAACCCTCCCACAGCCCCCTCCCACAGCTCAGCTCCAAAGGAGAGAGGAGCAAGGAGGGGAAAGAGGCTGACGCTTCAGGTCTACTGTGGCTCCCAACGGCAGAGTCATCTCTGCCCCCAAAGACATGGGCATTGGTAAGCTCCCTGACTTGTGGTACCCTGGAGGAACTCTGTTCTTGAGATGTCACTTTTCCCAGTAAAATCTGCTATCTTGTTGAAAAGGATTTAGATGAACCGATTGCTTCAGAATAAGTATGTAATTATTTTTGTGGTCAACTGAGACCACATCACATGGGAAATAAGAACAGATGTTGCCCAAAAAAGAATTCAGTTTGGCAGATGCAGAAACATGGTGGGGAGAGAATATCCTCTGACTGCCTGGCTAAGTAATCGCAAACAGCTGCTGGTCTGCATAAAGCTCAGACGAAGAAAACGTCCCAGCAGAAAGGCCCCATGTCCTCCTGGTAGAGATGAGGAAACTGAAGTCAGAGAGAAAGTAGGGTCAGAAACCTCATCTGATTCTTTCATTCTAGGATTTCTTTTTCTGGAAAACGTAGAAAGCACTGATAGCCCGAAGAATTGTTTTCTTCGGATTTTCCTATACTAACGGTATAAGTCATAATGAAGTACTGTCAAATATTTGTAAGCATTGAGAAGCCAGTGAACTCCAATGAGTAATTGACATTCCAGAGTGGCTTCTGTCCTCAGGGTGACCCCTGCTCACCACACAGCTGTGTGAATGCGGAGCACTGAACACTGAGCACCAAGCTCTGAGCTCCAAGCACTGAGCACCAAGCACTGTGCACTGAGCACTGAGCACTGAGCACTATGCACTGAGCACTGAGCACTGAGCAAGCCCCTCCAGGTCCTCGAGCTCATTAGCCTCCCTGTGAAAGGAAAGCGATCATTCAATGAACACTGCCAGCTGCTCCAGCTCTAATGGAACATGTCTCAAAGCTGGGAAAGTTCATGGATTTCCTCTACATTCAGAAAATATTCTGACTATCTTTTCTCCTCTCTGTTTATTTATAGTTCACAGCAGTCTCCAAATGCTAACCGTATCCTGAATTTATTTCAGGGCCCTGGCACATTCCAAAAAGAGTTCAGTCCCTCTCAGTCCCGCAACCTTGCCCTCTCCGAAGAGAGAGCAGGCATGGTGACAGCCTTCCGCAAGATCTCGCCTTCCCTCTCCTGCTCCTCTTCCTCCTCCTGCTGCTTCACTCCCTCCAGGAAGCCTTCCCTTCTGGGCCCGGACCTTTACTCTCTCCTTCCTCTGACTCCCCAGAGCACTTTATGAAACCTCTATTATAACGCAGCATTCCGTGTATTCAGAGAATTGGTGTCCTCGCTCCACTCCTGAGCCAGACACTGAGATCAAGGAGGGAGGGACTGAGTCACTGTACCGTTACACCCCGTGGAGCCCAGCACGTCACCCGGTACATTCAAGATGCTCAATAATAAAAGCTCTGACGATGAAGGCGTAGATGAACACATGAGTCACTGTCTTGCTCCTCGCCCTCCTCTTTCTCCTGAGTCCCAGGCTGCCTCCCCAGCCCTGCACCTTCCTTCCTAGACTCTGAAAGCAGGAGTTTAATGAGCACAACGCCCCCATGGGGTAGTCTAAGCCTGCCTTTCAGGTATTCATTCCTTTTTCGAGCTTGACCATGACCGTGACCCACCGGGGATTTTAGAAATTATTTGCACAGATAGTTAACAACACTGTATTGTATACTTGAAATCTGCTAACAGAGTAGATCTTGTTCTCAGCAAAAAAAAAAAAAAGGTAACTAGGTGGGGCGATGGTTGTGTTCATCAGCTTGATTGGGGTAAACATGTCACAATGCATATGTATATAAAAACTTCACACTGGACACCTTATATATATACAATTTTTATTTGTCAATTTTACCTCAATAAAGCTGGGAAAAAGAGAAATTATTTGAACAGATGATGAAAAAAATAATCACCCTCATGCTCTATTCTGTCCTGAATGTTTCTAGACTTACAGCTATAGTTCTGGATTCTTCAGAAAGCTCTTTGGCATTCAAATCAAGGGCTTCTGGAAAGTTCTTAGAAAGCAAACTCTGGGGTGAGCAGGCTCTCACAGCAGAGGCGAGCAACTGTATTCCATAAGGGCCAATTCAGAGAAAGTAAAAATATATAAGGGCTGCATTATTCTCTTTTGATGGCAAGTGCATATTCATACAATTTAGATTTATCTGCTTTTTTAATTAGAAGAATGTCCAGGAAGAAATCGCCACTGTTTTTCTGCCACACTCACTTACGAACATTAACATCTGGGCTGATCCGAGAAGTGATGCCATGGACGTCGCACTCCAACTTTCCCATCGTTTCTTCCTGAACCATGAGCGCGGGCGGGCATCAGCCCTGCCTGTGCGCTGCTCAGCCTGGGCGGACACGCTTCTCAATCCCAGCCAGCTCCTCCTTGCATCTGAAAACTGATCTTCCCTGTACTCTCTACTCCAGCTGCTACTTACTCCTGAGATGCTAGTAGTTAGAGACTCAGGAATCCACGGAAAGAAAAATCCTGCAGGCATTTTGGCAGGTTTTAAAGAGCACAATGAGTTAGAAACCAGTTGTTAGACGAGATGTTCAAAGATGAGATGAGATTAGAAGCTGGCGCACTCATTTCACTTGACGTTCTAATCCTTTCTCAGCAAATTATCTCAGAGCTCCAGGCCCTGGGGTTCAGATCCTGCCCGGGGTTCACCTCCTCTATAAATATCCTCCACTGTTGTTAGAAACTGCCGAGAGAGAAATATTACGAACTCTTACTCTTATTTTGATTTGCAAAGAAAGAGGCCACTTTTGTGGTGCTCAAGTTGACTGTTAGTTTTGGCGATCATCAAGGCATAAATATTCAAAAAGACCCACTCAGTGTTCCTCTCTCCCTCACGCACACGCACGCAGACACAAAACTAGTCTCTTAACTAGAAGATAGTTATGACAAGAGAACTTTCAAAAGGTCTCTGCTCTTATTTGTATTGCCAGAAGCTTTTTTTAAAAAAGTAGGTATAAGAGGCACTATTGAGAAGTCAATCATTTGTCAGGTGAGCCCTTTAAGCTGGGCAATGATTACACAAGGCACACGTCACACAAGTACACACCCCATGCTGCTGTCCAAGACCCAGAGAGCGCTGGAGCTGAGAAAGGCCTGGTGGCGAAGAGAAGAGGAAGAAGAAAAGAAGGAAGGCGGTGGTACCCCTTCTAGGAGGACAGGCTTTAACTAAAGTCTCATCCCGCTATTGAGCTGGGCTTGTGGGACCCTGAGTGTTTCTTGCTTGGTGCCCAAGTTCCTCTCTTAGTACTACTGGGCCCTGTTAAGTACTGGGCTTGTCCTTTCCTCTGCCTTTACCTAACGGTCACATTCTTATTTACGTGATAAAATGGACACTAAATACAGCCGTAAACTCTGATGTTCTCCTCTCTCCCTGCCATTTCCATCATGTTGGGATCGTCTAGAAATCTTTTGCTTCAGCTCCTGCCCCCGGCTCTGCCCCCAGAGACCCCCTTTGGGCTCTAGTCTGCCCCTGAGCAGCCAGAAGCCCAGAAGACAGCAGAGCTGAGCCAGCCCCTGCCCTGGGATCAGAAGCTAACTAGCGTCTCCTGCTCCCCAGAGACCTGCCTGTCAGGCCCGGGAGGTAGGTTTAAAGACCCAAGGATCCCTTTTCCCTTCATTGTGATTTTTGCCCTCACAGTCCCGCGTCTGTGGTAAGTGCTCAATAAATATTTCAGCTCAAGCTGCTGATGCAGAAGCAGACCCTTCGCTCCATACACGGTCAGGTCCCAAAGATGCCTGAGAGGGAAAATAAGTCAGGTTTTTCCTGTAGCTCCCCTTGACTAGGCGCGAACATGACTAATTACTTCACG